CCTCACCAGTGCTGAGTACGGGGGCACAATCGCTTCCCTAAAGGCCATAGGGCCTGAAATGGGGCTTCTGGCCTGAATCAGAAATGCTTTTTTTCGGAGTCTTTGTGGTATTTTAGTTTGTTTCCGAGGCACAGTCGCAGTCAGGAGGTGGTACAGGCAATTGCAACCTAGGAAGGTAAACTCCAGGAAAATCGTTGCGGCCACCTTAGCCCCTTGTGTCACCGAAGCGAGAGGCAGCTCTGAGCGTTCAGACAATAGGAGAGTGAAAACCCACGTGCTGAGCGCCCCGAGTGCCGCAGCCTTCCCTTCATCTCTGGGTGTAACCCCCGTCTGCCTTTCTTGTTCCCTGCTCGTGTACTTGGGCAGCGATTTGGAGAGAAATTTAGGAGGGTCATCCCCTGGAAGCGTGTCATCCACCAGAGGGAGCCAGTATTTTTTTAAGATATCCTTCCAGGTGGCACTGTGAGTTCCTTTAATTTCAGCTGCGTTACTCATCACTAATGCAGAGCTCTCTCTCCTCCCTGCAGACAAAGAAGGAGCACTTATACACGTGGCGAATTGAACTGGCGAAAACGGAAAAGTACTGGGACGGCTGGTTCAGGGGTTTATCTAACCTCTTCCTGAGCTGTCCAACTCCAAAGCTTTTGCTTTTAGCTGGTACGTGGCTCCTCCGGTCCCGTTTAGGTGCAGTGGCTGTTCAGTGATGTCCCCCTTGTGTTTTAGAGAACAGGGTCAGCGTTTGGCTCGTGTCTTTCTCGGAGAAGAGCAGGCCCGTCTCTTCCACCTCGGCTTTTCTCTAGCTCTTGAAAGATCATAAAGCACTTGGTCTGTGCCGAGCTGGAATTAGTTCAGAGCCTCTAATATCAAAGCAGAACATCATGTCGTGCTGTGTATTGCTGCTGCTGGATGAGTATGATGTGGAAGAAGACCAAAGAGGACAGAGCCAAGCTGCCCTTCAGCCTCTGCTACTAAAATACGGGCGTGATTTGAATTTTTCCACTGAAAGTCAAATTACCGATGTCCTAGAGCCAGCTGTAGGCCCTTTTTGTCCCCTGATAGGCAATTTAAGTGTGTAACCGAGATCATGAAGATAAACACCCTTTTAAGTTGTAGGGAACGGTGCGTTCATGCATTTTTGGCTGGGATTCTTTCCCGTCGCTTTACTCTCCTGAGTGAAAAGACCTCGGGGGTGTCAGAGATGATGTTTCTTTTGAGTTTTTCAAGCCAAATGTCTCCTTCAAAATGTCGAGTAAAGCCCTGCTTAGGCAGTCCCGTTCCCTCTGGCTTTTCTCCAATACATCTGTGTATTTGCTTGCAGGTGTGGACAGGCTGGATAAAGACCTAACAATTGGGCAGATGCAAGGTAAATATTGGATATCGTTACTCTGTCCTTACTGTCGTGCTCTTTGTGGGTGATAGCTTGTCGCTACGGGTGCACGAATGAGAGCGAGCTGGAACGTCCTTTTGTCAGGTGCAGAAACAAATGTACGTTGGAGAATTAGTCCATCCCAAAGTGTTCTCTAACTGCCTGTGGTTCTAGGAAAGGTGAGGAAGCTGAGGTGGGAAAGGTTGAACTAGAAGCTGTGAAGGGCTGTGGCCGTGGCTTTTGTTCAGTCGAGCGTGCAGCGTTGCCAGCAGTGGGGCTGTCACGCTTCTCTTGGATCCGAATGATTGTCTGTGAGAGCTTCTAATCTGTTTTTTCCCCTTCTAATTACTTTCCTGATGTTCCCAGCTAGAAAAGTTGGGACCATCCAAAACTGGCTGGTCTCCCGATGTTTCTGGCAGCCATCAGACCAAGATCCAGAATCTCCATTAATGGTTTGGGTTTGGGTTGGGTTGGTTTAGTTTTTTTTTTCCCCCGTCCCAGCTTCATTGATTTCCAGAGCGACCAGTACTGGGGAGCAGGACAAACGTTGCATTGAGGTAACAGTTCCAACCCTGAAAGCTGCTCTCGCCTGCACCAAGAAGCTCTGAGAAGTTTTGCTTCCTTTTAACTCCTGGGAACCTGCTCCCCAGCTGTAAGATGACTTCAGAAACTGGTTCTTGCTTTCTCTGGAACCTGCCTGCTGCGCCTCTTGCACGGTTTGCCCTAGGCTGCTAGGCCTTCCCCGGCCCCTCTTCGCCAGATGCTTATAGCGAGGTTTGTCTGTAAAGAACGTGAGGTCCTTTTTAGAAGAGTTCATAAATTCACGGCGCTTCCAAGGGTGTGATGTCTGACGTACACGAGGACCGCTTGCCTCAGCCGCTGCTGTTGCCAATCAGGACCGTAATCACTTAAAAAGCAGCTCCAGTGACGCCTCTCTTGATCCGCAGGGAAGTTCCAGATGCAGGTCCTCCCGCAGTGTGGCCATGCGGTCCACGAAGATGCTCCAGACAAGGTGAGCCCCGCCGTGGGGTTGAAGCTGCTCGTGCTCATCCCAGCTCGAGTGCAAAAGCGGTCCGTTGCTTCCCCTGAAGCGGGGGTTGGCCTTCAGGGGCGGTTTTCGGCATCTTAACTGGCTGTTGGCAGAACAGCTTGGGTTTTCGAGCTGGCTGGAGAGGCTGAGCTGAGATGTTAGGCGACACGGGGCTTGGCTAAGTTACAGATTTAACGCTCAGGCTAGCGGTGATACAACAAACTCTTACCCTGTGGAGTGTGGATTTACCCTCCCTGCCTTTCCTCGTGAAGTTCTCCACTCTCCCTTGTACTAAACTGCAGCTTTTGGGGTCGGTCTGCGTTTCGCTGAGCTGGGTGGCTCGCCTTTTCCAAGTACAAATGTTCCTGAAACAGCCTGCAGATGACAGAGCCGTTGGGTGTCCAGATAGAAGCAGGAACGTGGAGCCTGTGGTTGGAAACACGGCTGGTTTCAAAGCTTGTTCTGCCCTGACCGCTGTGCCTGTAAACCCCAGCCTTTCTGTGCTCCGCTTTACCAATCCAAAATAGGGACTTTTGCCTAAACACACCGAGTTCTGACATTGTTATCTCTTTTAATGCACGTTCTAAGAGTATTACTGCTGTCAGGTGACCGTCTTGATTTACTCTTTGTGGGAATAACTTGCGTTGTGGTTTCACCAGACCTTTTTTGCCTGAGGCTAAACTTAGGCATTGTTTTAAGAATTACTGAAAGAGGAGGAGAAAAAGCTTAGTCCGTTCTTGATTGCCAGATCGGTGTCAGAGTAAAGGTGGAAGCGTGCAGTTCCTTTTTTTTTTTTTTTTAATATAAAAGCGTGATATGCAGAGCTCTTGGTTTTAAAGGTGCAAACCCGATGCAGCAAGAGGGTCCTGAGGACACAAACTGTTGTTGGAAATGCTGCAGGCTTTGAAAACTGACCGGATTTCTTCTTATCTTCATGTCCCTTTATATTCAGATGGATTTTATATTTTCTTTTTAATTTTATTTTTCCGCCCCCCCCGCTCAGGTTGCTGAAGCTGTTGCAACGTTCCTGATCCGTCACAGGTTTACAGAGCCCATCGGTGGATTCCAGTGGTAAGGCTCTGCGGGTGCTAGAGCTGGGCAGCCCTCGAGCAGAGCTCCTGCTCTTACTGCCCGTTGTTTGGCTGTCAGTGGTGGGGGGGCTGGAGTTCTAGCCAAAACCCCACGTGTAAGCAAACAGCTTTGAATCCGGTAATATATTTGATGCTTGTGTGTTCTCTCTCACTTCTCGCATATTAACTTGTGTTAATGAAACCTCCTTCCTTGGAGGGGAGGAGCAAAGCAGATCCTCCCTCGCTGACTCCTTGCTCTACAGCCTGCCAGAAAGCGGAATTAGCGGCTTTGTGGTGTTTAGTTTAAATAGCACCTTGTGCAAGTCATCGGGGCCCTGTGTTTTGGAAAGAACTTGCACCACGCTGCTTTGGCCAAGCCACACTGGTGAGATGAGGCGGGTGAAGCTGTGTGCTTCGCTTTGCAGGCTTTCCCGTCCTTCCCTCGCCTGTTTTCATGTCGCAGGGAACTGCGGAGGCCAGGCTTCTGCAGTGAGAGGAGGTTGTGACTGATGAGGTTGATGGGCAAAACTCCCCATCTTGGGTACGGTACCATAAAGCTCATGACTAAACCAAGGCTTAGACCTCACAGAAGGTGCTCGTCTGGTTTAGGGTCATCCTTCAGGTGAATGAGAATAAGCCTGCTTCTTAAGCAGCGCTGAAAAGTCTTCCTTTTAGCTAAGAATTCTTCAACAAAAGCTAGAAGCCCTAAAATGCATGAAGCTGTAGGACTGGCAGTGCTGAAGAGGTCTGGCTGGCTGATCTTTTTCTTTTCCCCCCCTTTATCCTGTGCCCTTGGGGACGAAGCAGTAGCAGCGTGGACTGCCTGTATTAAATCCAGTGAGAGGATATAGTGTAAATGGTGAGGGAGGGAGAGGACCACCGGGCTGTACTACGCCGTAGCACCGAGTCCCCACCAGGTATCTGGTGACCTGTGCTACCTCTGCGCGTCTCGACGGCGCCAGCCTGTTGCTCCTGCGATGCTGGGTGTGGCAAAAGCAGCTTTAAACCAAGAGGCTTGGAGAAAGCGAGGTGGCTTGGTGGCCTTACTGCGTCCTTATGCCGTGGACGGCAACGCATTGAGCTTTTGTGCTTCTCACTCTTACGTCCAAGTCATCGTTGAACGCATCGGTGCTGATTTTCACCTGCATGACAGGCTCCTCTTGGCCTTGTTTGGTCTTGGGTAATCAACTAGATTTAGGCCAAATGTCTGCGGTGAAGACCTTTAACGTGTGTGACCTTTCTTCCGCTCTCCTTTTTCCCTCCTAGTGTGTTTCCTGCTTGTTAATACCCTGGTGTTCTCCAGCACTGAATCCTGTTGTAAATAAACTGCACCAGAGGCCACTGTGATGTATCCATATCCTTTCATCTCTCCAGTTCAGCAGCAGTGAGAAGTTGGTGTGAGATTCATCCCCTAGATTTAGTTCTCCAGAATGTGTAAATGCTTAGGGACTTCCTTGCTGGGAAGCAGCTCGTACTGAAGACCATGAAAAGCTCTTCAGGCCCTTGGAAGTGGGCTCCTCTCTGCTGCCCCAAGGAAAAGACCTCCTGAAACCCCAAGTAGTCGATCATACCGATCTCCGTCGATTCTCAGGCTTTCTTGGACCCAACTGCAAAGGGGCCGTTGGCAGTCCAGATCCACCGAGGGCATTGCAGCGTAGCCAAAGGCTTCGGGTTTCCTCCTTGGAGTTGTCTCATCGTCTCTGAAGTGCCCCTTAGGTTTGTTTTTTTTATATACACGTTTCTTCCCCGCCCCTAAAGCAGATGAGGAATCGGCTTCGTTGGGAGCTCGGGTTTTGTCTCACCAGTGCCAGCCTTACGGGTTAAGCTGCGGGAAGAGCCTGGACGCTGCTTTCCTGGGCAAAGTGGGACGGGACTGTGAAACAAAAAAGGCGAGGGGGGACACCACGAGCTCCGTTTCAGAGTCTTGCGGCTTCCTTAAGACTTGTTTCGAGTTCTCCCTGAGAAAAAATCGCCCGGATGACTCCGTCTGTTGCCGACATGTAACAGGCAGGGGACTCTGGGCCTGCCTTCGTGGGGAAGACCCAAGAGCAGCCATAACAACGTGGAGTTTGCCTCTTTGGGCCACTCTTTGCCCCTGGAGTGTCTTTACGCTTCCCTTCCAGCTGCTACACCCAACTGAGCAGAGATCAGCGCCTTTTGGATGGGAAAAAAAGACCACAAAACGTGCAAAAAAAACCTGGAAGAGCTTGGAGTCAGTCCTGCTGATGTTGGTGCAGAGGTGTAGGCGGCCGCTGCCGCCTTCTGCTCCCCCCAGTACTGGAGGAAAGACCTGGTTTTCACTGTCGCTTGCTGGATCGTTTCGCTGCCTGCCTTCCATAGTTCCCTGTCGGTGCCGTAGTCACACGGAGAGCTTTTCTTCAGGGCGAAGTTATCCACAGTCGGTCGGGTTGCTTTCACCGAAGAATCACTCGTGAGCCGAAGAGCAGACACGTTTTGGAGCCAGTTTCCTCAGTATTTTGCTGGTGGATGTCTGAAATCTTTCTCTTTTCTTTGGCCTTGTGTCCATAACCCCCTGCTGCTGTGTGATGAAGTTATCCACAGTCGGTTGGGTTGCTTTCACTGAAAAATCACTCGTGAGCTGAAGAGCAGACACGTTTTGGAGCCAGTTTCCTCAGTATTTTGCTGGTGGATGTCTGAAATCTTTTTGTTTTCCTTTATTTTCCTTTTTTTTTTTTTGGCCTTGTGTCCGTAACCCCCTGCTGCTGTGTGATGCAATTATCCACAGTCAGTCGGATTGCTTTCACCGAAAAATCACTCATGAGCTGAAGAGCAGACACGTTTTGGAGCCGTTTTCCTCAGTATTTTGCTGGTGGATGTCTAAAATCTTTTAATTTTCCTTTATTTTCCTTTTTTTTGGGGCCTTGTGTCCATAACCCCCTGCTGCTGTGTGGTGAAGTTATCCACAGTCGATCAGGTTGCTTTCACTGAAGAATCACTCGTGAGCCGAAGAGCAGACACGTTTTGGAGCCGTTTTCCTCAATATTTTGCTGGTGGATGTCTGAAATCTTTTTATTTTCCTTTTTTTTTGGGCCTTGTGTCCATAACCCCCTGCTGCTGTGTGGTGAAGTTATCCACAGTCGATCAGGTTGCTTTCACTGAAGAATCACTCGTGAGCCGAAGAGCAGACACGTTTTGGAGCCGTTTTCCTCAATATTTTGCTGGTGGATGTCTGAAATCTTTTTATTTTCCTTTTTTCCTTTGGCCTCGTGTCCCTAACCCCTCGCTGCTGTGTGATGAAAGCAGTCATTCCAGCGCCGTTTCGCTGAGGCACGGTCCTGTCGTCGGCCCGATCCGGGAGCTGCGCTGCGCGTCGACGCCTCCGCCCTGCGCCCGAGCGCCGTCGTGGGTTCTGGGCGTTGGAGGGGGGGGGCGGCGTGAAGAGCTGGCCGAGCCCGCTGGCACGCTGGCGTTGACCCGGATGGAGAGCCGCTCGTCCCCTCGGCTTCCTTCGCCCGTGGGCCTTGCTCTGCGTCCCTTCCCTGAGACGTCAGGGTGGGAAATGAAGTCGAGACCGGGAAGCCTCGCTCCAGAGCTCTCCTCGCTCCCGGCGCTTTGGCCCTCGGCGCTCCGGTGTGACGAGAGCAATCGCTGGCTCCCGCCGCTGCCCTCCGTACGTCACCGCGTTAGTTATCGCCTTCGTTCACTGTGACCTTGGTGTAACGTCCGCCCCTGGTTTAGTTGCTGATGGATTCAATGGGTCTTCATTAGCTGAGCTGCGAAACAGCGCTTTCCCCAGCCGCGTCCTCCGGATGGGCAAAATTCTCGGTCCTTTCCGGCCGACCCCTGTGTTCAAATTGGTAAAGATTAAAAGGGTACGGTGCGTGTCTGTCCGGAGTCTCGCTTCACGGGGTAGTTGTTGTCGATACTCCTGGATGACCTTGGGGAAAGTCACGTTCCTCCGTGCTGAAGCGACGTGGAGGACGCGGCTTGGAGCGATTCGTTGCGGTCGCTCCCGGCGTTTGCCTCTCGTGTCGCCCCTTCCGTTCGCTTTGACGGTGTGCGGGATATTTAAAAAAAAAAACACCAACCCCACCCCCCAACGACGAAAACCTCCATGAAAAGCAAAAGAAAATCGGTTTTGTATTCGGTAGAAGCACCATTGGGAAATGAATGACTGTCTCTGAATCCTGCGGGCTCCCCAGAATTATATTTTGTTGTTAACATTTGAGAAGTGAGTGGAAAAAAAAAAAATAAATATTTCAACAGCCTATGGAACGTGGCGGCGCTCCGTGCCAAGCTCTCCGTCCTGACGTGCCGCTGGGGGACTTGGGTAGGGCTGGCTTCCCAAAAAGGTGGCTGTGGGAAGAGCAGCGATGGCCTGCGGGTGGGCGGAGGGGGAATTCCTTTCGGCTGTGTCGAGCCACATGTGGTTTTGAGACGGTACTTTTGTCTGGAAAATATTAATGCTCCTGTTGCAGTTTCTTCTCCTTTTCCAGGCAGAGAGAAACGGTGTTTAGGTGAAGGGTGGCGCAGACCGTAGCTGCAGAGAGAAGAAAAGTTCTCTTTGGCTCATGAAAAAGGGGGATTTCTAGAAAACTATCAGCTTTTCACTGCGTGTTTCCACAGCATCGTGCTGCCTGTGTGGAAAAGCAGATCCCGAGGAGGAGGCTGAGTTGACAGGGTGCTGGTTTCACGCTGGCCCTTTTGGCTGGTTCGAAATCTCTCTCGCTTTTGTTCCAGTGGTTGGATTTGGGGATCGGTGGAAACTTCCACGACGGAAAATCCCAAAGGCTCGGCAGGAGCAGAAGATGCCGTTTGGCGGGGGGGCTGGTTTCTTGCAGGGTTCACTCCTTAAATTTTTCAAACCAGACCCAGGGCGGGTTTTACCAGCTCCTGGATTAGATCCACCGGACAAAACGCTCAGTGCCTTGTAGATGGAGATTCTGGGGAAAAGATGTTTCCCGTAGAGGCACCGGCCAAACCCCTCAGTGCCTTGTAGGTCGAGATTGTTGGAAAAAGACTTTTCCTGCGTTGCAGAAGCGTGTAGCTTTGCTTGGAATACCGATCCTGCGGAGCGTGGCTGCGTGTCTTTGCCCGTGCTTAACCCCTCGCCGTTCCTCCGTGCTGGCGAGCGAGGCGACCGAGCCGTGCCGCCGCCACCGCCGCCCTCGGTGTCGAAAGGGTTGCCGAATCGCCTGGCTTGGCTTTTGAGCCTTGTCTTTGTCTTCAGCCCGCCCTGCCTGGGATGTGAACGGGCTGGGAGACAATACCAAAACCAGTGAAAAAATACCAGCGCTCCTGGCGACTGGGGGTCGCTTTCCGTGCAACCCAGCCACCCTCTGGAATAAAAATAAGCACCTCAAGAAAGCCTGGAGCGGCTTCCAAACTGGCCTGGCGGCCGGGGAGCTCTGGGAGGTGGTGGTGATGTGACCGATCCCACCCGCCCTGGGCCGGTTCAGAGGGAACCTCCTGGCTTTTCCCCTCTCTCTGCAGCGCGGAGCGATGGCAAGAGGGCGAAGCCGCTCGCTGGCTTCTTCATCCCAGGACTCGGAAAACTTTTATCAGTGGCTTCTCCTTCATCCCAGGATGTCCCAAAACTTTTAGCAGTGGGTGGCCACGTTCAACGGGGGGGTTTGGGGGGCGGAGGAGCGCCCGGCAGGTGTGGGAGCAGGAGAGAGCAAAGAGCTTCGTGCTGCTCTGCTCCACCTCCTCGACTTGAGCGCGGACGTTTCTCTTCCCCTCCGCTACTGCTTTTTGTCTTGGGTGCAGAAGGGCCTGGGAGAAGAGATAGCCAGAGGTGTCTGGCAATCAGCCGTTCACTGGTTTTAACTGGTGCTCGCCACTCCTGAAAATCCAGACCTTAGATCTTAAGGTGAAGTCCAAAAAAATAAAAAAGGAGATTAGGGTTTTTCCCAAGAAAACTTGGGCCCTGGCGCGTGATCACACCCCAGCGCTCCTCTCGCAGCCTGAAACCGCCGCTCGCCTGGCCCCAACCCGCCTCCCTCGCCTGCGGCGTCTGCCCTCGCCCCGCCGGTCCCGCTGCGCCCTCGGCCCCCTGGCCGTCAGGCGGCTGGGGAGTGCCCACGTGCTTGCCCCGAGCCTTGCTGGTGGACGCTGGGCCGGTTTGGGACGAGCTTTCCCGGGCCGGCGGGGTGACCTCTTACCACGTGCTGCCGTTTCCGAAAGGAAAACGTGTGTGTGAGTTCGGACACCGCGCTCTGTGCCCCGTGTCAGCCTCGTCCTGCCTCTGCCCTGTTCCGCGCCCGTTTCTCTCGCCTACAACTAAAGCATTTGGGAAGAGCCCGGGGTAGGAGCTCCTGCTTTCCCTTCAGCTGCCGTCCTCGGGCTCCTCCGAGCAGCCCGGGGAGGAAGGGTGTCACTCCAGCTCTTTTGGGGACATCCCCAGGGCCCGACGCAACCCTTGGGTTTTTCCGGTGACTCAACGGAAGCTTCTCATCATCCGAAATATTCCCCCATCCCTTCTCTGCGCTCCGGCATGGGGAGGAGGGGTGGGTGCTTTAGCCACAGCTTTTGCTTTTTCCCCTCCTCTCCCCGAGCGGCGGCTCCCACGTGGACAGAAACATCTGAAAGCAATAAACGGCGGCGCTCTGGCTGCTCGGGAGCGCGTGCTGTGCAGAACCGTCCGCTTTGTACTGCCCTCAATGCTGGGGTGCCCATTCCTGTCCGGAAAGTGGGGATTTGGGGCAAGTGGCTCGGAAAATTCGCAGACTTTCACGTTCTGGCAGGTTTCACCGAGCCCTAAAGGCTTCCTGGATGATCCTCCCCATCCTCCAGCTCCTCTGCCCCTGCCTAAAT